AGAGGGGAGCACTTTTCTCCCTCCCCCCGTCGGGGCCAGAATCCTCGTGAGGGGTGTCGTTTTTTAGCCCTCCCAGGGATAGAAAAAGGACCCTCTGAGCACCCGCGGAAGGACCTCTCCAGGTCCAGGGGGAGGGGGTAGGGGGAGGGGTAAACCCCTCCCCGAAGGGGAAAAAAGGGGGGTTGAGAACAGAGAGAGCTCGCTAAACCACTCACGCCCAAAGGGCTGGTGGGATTACGGCTTCGGCGACGCGAATTTCACGTATTTTGACGTGCCCCACGACCCCCCGGGAAGTCAGATAACGCGATTCGGGGGTGTTAACCATGGCGCTTTTTGGCTTCTTTCTCGCGTGTTCATCAAGAGTTAACAGTGAGGAAGCAGAAAGCAGGGCTGTAAAGTGGAATTTCTGGAAACTGCAACTGGTACAGGGAGCTGCACGCCTAGTCATCGTAGCCCCATAGCCCCGCCAGGGGGGCGGCGGATTTCGGGCAACGGGATTTTGTCATATGCTGTGCGAACAGTTGCCCTTGCGAGAAGGACATTCCGAGCGTTCGAAGCGGACGATTTCTACGGGTCGCGCGCCCTTTCGCCAAGGCGCAGGGTCTCGACCCACCGAATTCTTACAGTGACGGAGATGACGACGATGTATTGGCCAGATGCTCGCGGGACGGATCGGCGTCCGGTTCCCGACGCCAGCGTGGGGATGCTTATAGAGATCGTGCGCGTCAGCTATCCCGCGACCCTGCCTGCGGTTGCAATTCTGAAGAAGTCATTGAGATGCTGTCCGATCGGTGGAACGGGGCTCGCGTGGGCCTGCGGGTGATCCGATTCGCGCGAGGAAGAGCGGCAGCGGTCGAGGTATGCGCACTCGCCAACGCCCGTGGGGCATCCTTCCTGATGGGCCTGATTGACATCGGCGCGGAAAACCTAAGCGATGCATCGCAGGCATCGTTGTGCGATAGGCGCGCTATTCTACGTGGACTACCTTCGGATTATCGACCGCTGCCTCTCGGCCCCGATCTGGCCGTCGCCCCGGGCGCATGCCCGGTGCGTGGGGGTGGGGTGGGTGGGGGGGGGGGGGGCGGCTATCATATCGTTCGCAGACTGCGACCCAGTAGCAGACTAGTGCCCACATTCCGACGATTCTGATGAAGAGCGATGGCGCGTCATATTGGTATTTCTTGGCTCGTTGTGTCCTTCCTGTTGCGCGTGCCCCGACGATGCGTTGCAAAGCTGCCCGCGGCGCGGCGTTCTCAAGTCTTGCTTGGCAGCCGCGCTCGCTGACGTAGACTACGACCAGCGGCAGCGTGGAATAACCTGGGCGCGATGAGATTCTTTTCGTGATCGATACAGGGGGTGAAGAGGGCGAGCCGCCGCGAGCCCGACCTCCGCGAGGCGGCCAGGGCGTCCCTGGATCCACGGCCAGTTGACCAAGGCGTCGTCGGCAGGAACGATCGCGCCCGACGTGGAAATTCCACGCGTGGTGTCCGTGCAGTTCCTCGCCAGGGTAGTCGCCTTCAAGATGGTGCCAGACGGAGCATTCGGCGCGGCGGCCGACGCGGCTGCGCGCCATGGCTGCCTGACGCGGATTGCCCTGGTCCCTGGCAAACGCCAGCGCGGCCATCGGAGTGCCATCTTCTCGGCGATGCATTGTGGCAGCGCGGCCGAGATCGACGGGGTGCCCGCCGTAGCTGGACTGCGCGCTTGAATTTACAGGCCTGGTCACCACCTCGTCGTGGAGTGAGACCCAGGTCGCGATCGCCATGGGTGGGGGATGCGGTCGACGCCATCGCGAAGGCCCAGGGCGCTGCCCAGTGCGCGAGACATGGGCGCAAGCCCCGCGGCCCAACGGGTAGCCCGTGGATCAATTCCAGCAGGCTTCTGGGGACTGGCCCTAGTGGATGGGCTGGGCGCAGTTCCCGCCGAGGCGTTGGCTGTGCTTATGGGCCGAGATCTACCGGCGCGTCCACCTCGCGATGCGCAACCGAGTGGCGATGTGCAATCTGCGCCAGCGTCGCCGCCGTCGCGGCCAAATCCGCAGCGTCCACCGCGACGTAATCCGATTGCTCGGAAATAGCTGGCATGCCATCCTGCGCCCTCGCATCATAGTCGTGTACAAGAGCTCTCGTAAGTTTTTGAGCCCGATGGTCGTGCGCAGGATCCACCGAGGGCCTCTCGACATACAGACTCGATGTCTCAACGTCCAAACCTTCGAGTGCCTCGAGAACCTTTGCCGCAAGGGGCAAGGCTTGGGTGCCGGAGCTGGATCTGTGATGCCGTGGTGATCGAGTTTCAAGAGAAGATTATCTACATCGTGTATCGCGAGAGTCGCGAAAATATCGTCGCCAGGGAGGAAGTCGAACTCTGGGGGGGGGTCCGTCTATCGCAGGAGCCGAAGCTAGTAAATGGGCCAGTACGCTTTTCCGAGCTCAAGCGAATTCGTGAATGCGGAGGGCCCTGTATTTTGTTATCCCTCGCGATTGATGCTGAATCGGCGTGCGAGTGTTCTTCCAGCGAGGGTCCTGCGACAACTGCTCAGAACGCGCTATCGGGGCATATTGGCCGTCTACGAGAATTCCTCGCCCTCGGCGTCATCGACAGTGTTCGACGGTGTGGCGCCTGCGATATGACGACAGGTGGTCGCGCGAATGGTGCCATTGAGCGAGGCCGACTTCTGCGAGTCACGACCGGTTATCATGGGCACAGGTATGCAGTGGAGGCCCATGCTTTGCACCGGGGCAACAAATCCCCCATCGCCGATGAGGCCGCCGCGGTTGTTCGCGCGCCCTCTCAGACCCTAGGGGTCTGGTGGCTTATTCTCTAACAGCCGTTATGCGCAGGAGGGCGGGCCCTGCTGTTGGCTCCATGCCGAGCTCTCGCGGGCCCGCGACTGCTCGCCGCCGGCGCGGCCCCGCGCCGGCTCCGCCCCCGCGGCCGCGGGATCGCGACCCCGCTCGATCTCTTTTTCCGTCATTTTATTTGGTTTTCTTACGGGCCGACCTGGGCCCGCCCTGCTCGAGCAACGTCGCCCGCCTTGCTTCTGCCCGACGCGCTGGCGCTAAGATGTTGGACTCGTGGCGGCGTGGCTTCGACCTCGGGCATCCTCGTTCTAATGCGCTGTGTCAGTTGTTGGAGTATTCAACTGTCGATCTCGTTGTGCGACGCGCTGCCCTCGCGGTTGCGACTGCCGACCGCCGCCCCTTCTTGAATGGCGCAACGCCTCCTCGAGCGCCAAGTGGGTGGCGGGCAGGCCCCCCCGCCCCCCCCCCTCGTGTTCGAAGAGGCGCTCCGAGGAGTGGCGATCTGTCTGCATCTTGCCTGCCCCGCCGCCGCCTCGGCACATGGCGGCGCCGCTCCATGTGCTTGTGCCGATAGTGCTTTATGCTTGGCGGCGGGAGTGGTGGAGAGGCATTCTTCCGATGCCGCCGCCGTCGCCGCCATCGCATCCCCTTGCCCTTTTCACCCTTCGCGTCATTAATTGTGCAATTGTGCGACGGCGGGCGCCGCGTCGGCTGATGGCTGTGGTGGTGGTGGTGGTGGCGGGGGGATGATGGCGATGATGATGGCGGTGATGCTGATTTTGCTGAGGACTCCTGGGTCTCATGGGGATGCGACCGATGGTGATTAGTGTTTGTGATGACGGCGGTGATTGCGAGCATGCGGAGGGTGCATAGGATGAGGTTGGTAAGTGTAAGTGTGGCGATTCTGTTTTGATCATGGTGCTGGAGGCGGTGATGATTCTGATGGTGATGAGGAGGACGCGTATCATGATTCTAACGGTCGGACTTCTGCTGACGATGATGATGGTAGTGATGACGGCGACGGTGGTGGTGGTGACCATGATGGCACTTGGGAGAGGAGGGCGTCGGAATGGATGAGGATGAATATGGGGATGACGGTGGTGATAATTACGATGAGGAGGACACGGGGCTTGATTGCTACTTAGTGTCGTAAGTTGTAGGGATCGGGGTGGATGACTCGGAACATGCGGTTTCTGCGGATGATGATGACGACGACGAATATTGTGCTGTTGGCGATGAAGATTATAATGGTGATGGTGGGGGCGGCGAGGATGATGCGGATTAAATATAATGCTGCTGATGGAACTCCTGGTCACTGTGGCCACAATGATGACATACGGCAGATGCTGATGGCGATGGATGTGACGAAGACGAGGAGGACGAAGAGGAGGGAGGGGGGATATGAAATGATAAAAGGTCAGAAGGGGGGAAGAACGAGTTGAGGGTGGTAATGGAAGGAGGAGCAGGAAGATGATATCAGGAGGAAGGTGATGATGAACAGGAGGAGGAGGAAGAGGAGGAAGAGGAGGAGGAAAAGGAGGAGGAGGAGGAAAAGGAGGAGAGGAAAGGAGGAGGAGGAGGCGGAGGAGGAACAGGATGAGGAAACGGAGGCACAAGTGAGGTGGAAGAAGAAAAAAGGTTTTCTTCGGATGGGTCATGTCGAGCATCGGTGTTTTGCGCGCGCGTCTGTTCGAGCTCCTGTGTCTTCCTCCTCCTCTTTCTCTCATCCCTGTTCCCTCGCTGAAGAAAAATCAGGGGTAACAGAGTGAATGGGGAGGCGGGGGGGAGTGTGCCAGATGGTTAGCCCTGGGCCTCTACGATGCCCACCCCCCATCTGTGCTTCCTCCCCCCTCTCCTTCCCTCGTTTCGGTCTCCTTTCGCCTTCCTTTCTCCTCCCCTCCTTCCCTTCCTTCGTCCTTTTTTCCTTTACTTCTCCCTCCTCCTTTTTTGCTTCTCCCCTCTTTCCCCCTTTCTTTCCTTCAATCCCTTCCTTGTCTCCCCTCCTTCGCTCCCTCCTCCACCCTTCCCTCCTCCACTCCCTCTTCCGTTCGCTTTCCCCCCCTCTCCTCTCCGCCTTCGCTCTCCTCCTCCTCCTCCGCCTCCTCCGCCTCTTTTCACTTGCCGTCCGTTCCCTCTATGGACACTTCGCCTCTTCCTCCGCCTCACGCGTGCCGCGTTGGTGCCCCGAACAAAAAAAAGGACGCGTCCTTCTACAACATGGCGGACGGCGCCGCCCGTCCTCGCCGCCGCCGCCGCCGCCCAGGTTCTGAGGAACTCCACGCCGTCGGCGGGTAGTGGGGGGGGGCAGGAGGGGACGGGGGAGGGGGGGCAGGAGGAGGGAGGGGGAGAAGAGGGGAGGAAGGGGAGGGGTGCAAAGCTAAGTGCGCATTCGTCATATCTGACGTCCTACCCTTCCCTCCCATCCCTTACCATGGCGTAGATACCCTCTTTATTCGCACAGTCGGATGTCGAGCAGGGCAATGATTGCGAGAAGGTGCGCAGTGCATCGTAGAGCAAGGCGTAGCATGGCGTGGCGTTGCGTAGTCAAGAATTGTATCATGAAGCGTTGTGACGCAAATAATGGCATCGCACAGCGTCACGTAACACAACACCGCACAGCATGTCATGTATGGCGCCGGGTTCCTTGGAGGGCAAGTGGATCGTCTTCGAGAGGTCTGGGCCAGTCTGGAGTCGTGGCTTTATGTCTAGCACTTTGGGCTCCCCGAAAAGCTCCACACAAGGCGGGGCCGATTGAGAGCACCCGCTGGCTCTGCTTTCAACATCGCCTTCTCAAGGCAGAAACGGGGCTCCCGCTTGATACTTCGTGAAAGCGACGACGCCCCAAAGTGGGGGGGGGCACTTCTGCGGCCCAACAAATGAACGAATCGACACCAGATGGTGTAATCACTTCCGATGGCCTTTTCGGGGGCCATTTTCTAGCTTTTGGGGCATGGCATCATACAGAGGAACACCACATAGCATTGCATTGCATGCCGTGGTATGGCACTGGAAATAATTACGCCAGCGCTGCAGCGGGAGCACGATTCGGAACGAGCGGAAGCGCGGAATTGAGGCCAGCGCTGCAGCGGGAACAACATTTTGCAACAATTCTAAGCGACAACCCAATTCCAGGGAATCTTGCGTGAAAAAAATACAGTGCGCGTAAGGAGGGCGGACATTTTCCGGACGGCATAAGGGGAGAGTGGAGAGTAGCATCCATATTGTGCAATTGTGGAGGGGGGCAGGGGGGAGAGGGGTGGATGGGGAGAGGGAGGGGGAGAGACAGGAGGGGGAAAGTGAAGGGCGGGGACGAGGGAAGAGGTTGAGAAGGATGGGTAGGAGGAGGAGGAGGAGGAGGAGGAGGAGGAGGAGGAGGAGGCGGAGGCGGAAGAGGAGGAGGAGGAGGGCGAGAAGGAGGAGGCGTAGGAGTAGTACGAGGAGGAGGAGGAGGAAAGGGAGGAGGGAAGAGAAGAAGATGATGATGATGATGATGAGGAGTAGTACGAGGAGGAGGAGGAGGAAAGGGAGGAGGGAAGAGAAGAAGATGATGATGATGATGATGACGATGATAATGATGCTGATTCTGATGATGATGATGCTGCTGATGCTGATGATGATGATGACGATGATGATGATGATGATGATGATGATAATGATGATGCTGATGATGATGATGATGTTGATGCTGCTGATGATGATGATGATGACGATGATGATGATGCTGATGATGATGATGCTGATGATGATGATGCTGCTGATGATGATGATGATGATGAAGAAGATGAAGATGAAGATGAGGATGAAGATGATGATGATGATGATGATGATGATGATGATGATGATGATGCTGATGCTGATGATGATGATGATGATGATGCTGATGATGATGGTGGTGGTGGTGGGTGGTGGTGGTGGTGTGATGATGATGATGATGATGATGATGATGATGTGATGATGATGATGGTGATGGTGATGGTGGTTGATGGTGATGGTGATGGTGATGTGTGATGGTGATGTGATGGTGATGAATGATGATGATGATGAATGATGATGATGATGATGATGATGATGATGAGCTGATGCTGCTGATGCTGATGCTGATGCTGATGATGATGATGATGATGATGATGATGAGATGATGATGATGATGATGATGATGATGATGATGATGATGATGATGATGATGATGATGATGATGATGATGATGATGATGATGATGATGATGATGATGATGATGATGATGATGATGATGATGATGATGATGATGATGATGATGATGATGATGATGATGATGATGATGATGAGATGATGATGATGGAATGATGATGATGATGATGATGATGATGATGATGAGGAGGAGGACGAGAGGAGGAGGAGGAGGAGGAGGAGAGGAGGAGGAGAGGAACAATATCAGGAGGAGGAGGGGAGGAGGAGAGGAGGATGAGGAGAGAGGCGATGAGGAGAGGAGGAGGAGGAGGAGGAGGAGGAGGGAGGAAGGAGGAGGAGGAGAGGAGGCCCAGGAGGAGGAGGAGGAGACAAGAGGAGGAGGAGGAGGAGGAGGAGGACCAGGAGGAAGATGGGGATAAGGAGTAGGAGTAGGAGTGGGAGTAGGAGTAGGAGGAGGAGGAGGAGGAGGAGGAGGAGGAGGAGGAGGAGGAGGAGGAGGAGGAGGAGGAGGAGGAGCAGGTTCAGACCATCACCGAGCAGACCGGCATGGACCAGGGGTGCCCTTTCTCGCTGCTCGCCTTCGTGGTCGGCCTTAAGCGGGTCCTCAACCGAGCACGCGCCCTCCTACGTGACGCTGGCCTCGACGGTGGTGTCCGCTTCCGGGCTTACGTCGACGACATATATGTCACATGCGCCGCTTCGCGCCTCCCCGCGGTCCTCGCAGCCTTTCGCCAGGCCTTGGCCGAGTCCGGCACGACGCTCAACGAGTCCAAGCTGAAGCTGTGGGGCGTCGAGCGCAACATTCTGCCGATGGACCTCCAGCAGTACCACTTGGAGACGCTCCAGGTCTTGGGGCACGCTGTCGAGCGATCCAGCGGGCAGATGCACACGTTCTGGCTTGGGGACTCAGGCGGGTCCTTCGCTTCGGTCACGGCCGCCCTCAGAGCCAACCTCGACAGGCTGTGGACCTTGCACGCGGAAGGCGGGCTCCCCAAGCAGGTAATGCAGGCACTGGCGCGCTTGGCCGCGCAGTCAAAGCCACAGCACGTCCTGCGCGGCGCCGCCATCTCTGCCAAGCAAGCCAGGGCCTACGACGCCGTGGTCGAACACTTCTGGGCTCGACTGCTCGTCGAAACCGGCAGTTTCGACGCCCACCGCAGGGTGCAGCTACACCTGCCATTGCGTCGCGGCGGCCTCAGCGTTGGCGGGGTGGAGGTGCCGGCCGATGCTGCCTTCCTTGCCGGCACTCGCGGGGCCTTGAGCGAGGTGATGAGCACGGTTGTGGCCAACACCGTCGCGGAGCTCCGGCACGTGCTCGCGCAGCACGTGGAGGGCAGGAACAGCGCGGTGACCAGCCTGGAGCAGAAGGGGGCGCGGGAGCAGACACGCCTGTGGCAAAGCGACCAGCCGCAACCCGTCAAGGGTATGCAGCGAGTCTGGACTCGAGCAGTCCAGCGCAACCTGCGCGATCAGTCCCTGGGGTCGGCCACGCAGCGCCATGCAGCGGTTATCAGATCCGCCTCCACTCCGGAGGCCAGCCGCTTCTTGGACCCGCCGGGGGCCGCCTCCGACAAGATGATGGACGCGACCTTTCAGGCAGCTGCCCGCCGCCGCTTGGGCCTGCGACCCGTGCCGCGTGGACCACGCGACGCTGCCCACTGCCAGAACCGGCGGCCGGATGGGACTAAGTGCGGCGTGGAGTTGGACGACGAGGGCCACCACGCCAGCATCTGTGAGATCGGTGGTGCGCGCGTGCGCTGGCACGATGGCAGCCGTGACCTCGTTGCCGCCCGGCTTGTCGCTGAGTTGCGCGCCCCTGTTTGCGCAGAGCAGCGGTGTCCCCACCTTGACAAGCTCAAGCCGGACGGCACGATGTCCGAGGCACGCTTAGACATCGTTGTCGAGCTGGGGGGCACCACGTTCTTCCTCGACGTCGCCATCGTCGACGTGTTGAGCACGGACTCGGCACTGGAACGGCAGCGTGCGTCTCGAGACGGCGCCGCTGCATGCCGCATGGAGGACGAGAAGCGGACGAAATACCCCGGTGCCAACGTCGTGCCCCTCGTGATTGAGAGCTACGGGCGAATCAACGTGAGCGGCATGGCATGGCTGCGCCGGGCGTGCCGGGACAAGCTCTTCCAGAGCTTGCTCCGCGCCTTGAGCGTCCATGTGCAAAGCCACGCGGGCGCCATGGTCATAGCGGCCAGCACTGGCCAGCACGGCGCGCCCCGGCAGCGGGCCGACCAGGCGTAGGCCGACGCGCCACGCTGGTCACCTCCCGCGGGGCCCCAGCACCAGCAGGAACCCCAAGACAGGAGGTCGGGCTGAACTGCCCGCGCACGGCTTCCCCCTGGGGGGCGCACGCCCTGGGGTGGTAGGGAACTGCCCCTTTGCAATTACACAATATGAAAATACTCCCACTTCCCCTGATGGCGTCCCGAAGATGGCCGACCCCCCCCCCCGCGTACTGTTTTTAAACACGCAGGATTCCCGGGAAACGGGTTTTCGCCTGCGTCTCGCTGAGGCGCCGGCCTCATTTCTGCTCCCGAATCGTTCCGAATCGTGCTCCCGCTGCAGCGTGGGCCTCATTTTCGGATCGGTGTTTGGCCTCCGTCGTTCAGGATGGCGTTCTCGCCCCAGCGCGGGCCTCTTTCTCGCGCGCCCATCCGCCCGCCACCCCGCGCCGCACCACCACCACCACCATCACCACCACCACCACCACCACCACCACCACCACCACCACCACCACCACCACCACCACCACCACCACCACCACCGCCAGCGCCACCACCACCACCAGCAGCACCACCACCACCACCGCCACCACCACCACCACCACCACCACCACAACCACGAACACACGCACGCACGCACGCACGCGCACCACCGCCCACTACGCACGCGCGCGCGGAGCCACTGGTCCGCTACGACACGCGTCCGCGGATAGAGATAATCAGCGCCATGGTCAGGGATGGGAGGGAAGGGTAGGACGTCAGATATGACGCGAGCGCACCTAGCTTGCCCCTCTCCCCTCCCCCTCTCTTCTCCGTGTCCCTCCTTTCCTCTCCTCCTGCCCTCGCCCCCCTCTCTCTCCCCCCTCCCCCTCCCCCGTCGCTGTCGTCGTCGTCGCCGTCGTCGTTCCGCCTCGTCGCCGCTGCGGCGGTCCCCGCGGTCGGCGTCCTCGGCGTCGTCGTCGCGGTCGCCTCGTCGCTCCGCCGCCGCCGTCGTCGTCGTCGTCGTCGTCGTCGTCGTCGTCGTCGTCGCCGCCGCCGTCGCCGTCGCCGTCGCCGGCGGCGCCTGGGGGCAGCCCCTTGCTTTCCCACGGGTTTGCGCCCCCCCCGCGGGGGAGGCGTCTGCGGCAGCGGCCCCTGCAGTCCTGTGGCGGACTCTCGGCCGACACGCCTAGCCCCGGTGGCCATGCGTCGTGGGACACATGCCGGGGTTGCGGATCCAGCAGGAGGAGGAGGAGGAGGAGGAGGAGGAGGAGGAGGAGGAGGAGGAGGAGGGAGGAGGAGCAGGGGAGGAGGAGGGAGGAGGAGGAGGAGGCAAAAGAGGAGGAGGGGGGGGATAAATAATATCA